TATGTGCAGGACGAAGCATGAGTACTCCGCGATCTGCGAGCAGATCAAAGCTGCCTTGATCCGCTTCACAAACAAGCTGAACATTGTCAAGTCCATGCCTTATGAGTGCAACGACATTACAAGTGAGTACACCTCAATAGATATATATATATATATACTTATTATATATATATACACATAGACATATGCAGATGCATTCCTGTGAATATAAAAATGTATACATGTATGTGTCGAAGTATATATATATATATAAGATATATACATATATATATATATATATGTAGAGCAGCATATGCGTGTCAACTGCAATCAGCCATGTGTGTTTGCTCCATCTCCCTCCCTCTATCTCTCTCCCTCTATCTCTCTCCCTCTCTCCCTCTCTCTCTCTCTCTCTCTCTCTCTCTCTCTCTCTCTCTCTCTCTCTCTCTCTCTCTCTCTCTCTCTCTCTCTTTCTTTCTCTTTCACACTCACTCAGTCACTCACTCACTCACTCTCTCTCTTTTATCTCTGTATCTAGCTCTCTCGCTCTATCTCGCCCCTGCCCTCGTCCCGTTGCTATCACTTTCACATGCTTGTTCTCTGCATCCCTTTGCTGCTGTCTTTCTCTTTGTCTCAAGCTGCTCTCCGCGTCGTTGTCACCTTCTCTCTCTCTCTCTCTCTCTCTCTCTCTCTCTCTCTCTCTCTCTCTCTCTCTCTCTCTCTCTCTCTCTCTCTCTCTCTCTCTCTTTTACTTTTTTCCTTAAATGTATTGTCTGAGGACGTATTTCCGCAAGGCTACTGCGAAGTCCAGGAGTAAGGCCAAGGCCAAACCTGAGAAGCGTGAAGATGAGTGAGTGCAGCTGAATTTTGGCGTGATCTGTGTGTGGAGCTTTGCAGTCTCATGAGTGCAATTCTTTGCGACCAACTAATGCTCATATACATGGACAGCTTATATACATGTATATATATATGTATATATATATATATGTATGTGCTTCTTATCTGTGTACATGTTTGCGTCCCTATATATACGTGTACATACATCACAAAGAGCATGCTGCAGTGTAGACATATAAGTTTATTCTGTAGCAGTTGCTATATGTTTGAGATGGGCTGCATGCTTCATTGTCGCCCAGCAGTCCTCGCGTGTGCGCTACCTGGGTGAAGAAGAATGCCAGCCTTGAGTCTTGCTTTCGCTTTCTGCAAGGACTTCTGAGATGGGGCTTCGGGTTGGTAGGGCAGTCTATTGGGAGTTGGGCAGTTATGTTGAACTTGAGTTTCTGGGCTGCTTTCAAAGCTTCTGGTCATGAATCGCCCTTTGCCAACAACTTGCTTCAGTGTCTCAACAGGCAAGTGCCGATTACACCCTGAGATAACACACATGCACTGCTCTCCAGCACTTTCAGTCCACCGCTTGGTTTGTACACCATGGCCTTCTTTATATATTGGTTGTCCTGTGCGCAGGTGCTGCTGTGGTGCGGAATGTGCTGAATCACTATCTGGCAACTCGGTCATGGTATCCTACTTTTTCTGTCTAGTACACAACTTCACAATGTGGCCTATGTATCTGCAGTTCCACGCTGAACTCTGCGTGAACATGTGTGTGTGTGTGCGTGTATACATGCATCTGAGGCACACAATGCCGATGGGGCGTCGCGCATGGCGTCGCTGAATGCTGCAACGATGAGTCTTCATGATCCTTGGCAGAGCACACTGGTGCAATTGGGCCTCGCCTCTGGAAGTTCGAGTGACAAGGAGACTGTGTTCCTCAACAATGTCAGGGCACTTGGGTTTACACTGCAGACAAAGGTCCAAATGAAAGAGGTCCAGTTCCCTGCAAAGGTTGGCCTGTGCCACCAGCCTGTTCTTCCGGTGAAAGAGTTGGCTGAAGAGATCTTGCGGGATTACCCTGAAATCTTATTCTGCGGGCATGGGTATGACCAGCTGGAGAAAGTGCAAGCTACTTTCTCTACTTTCTGGGAGCGCTTCCGGCACACGTGGCCCAAGCATCCGGTGTTTGAGGTGCATCACAATGGCCTACACCGCTGTATCCCCTGCCGCATCCATAGCGACGAAGGCACTTCATTTCGCAAAGCTGGCATCTTCCAGCAATCCTGGGGCCCAGTCATCAAAAGTGGCCCTGCCAGCTGGCGGCACTGTTTCTTTTACACCTGCCTCTTGGCTCAGCACTACAAGGCTTGCCCTGAGTTGCGTCTCATGTGGAGCAAGAATATACTCGTGCATACACATCCAAAGAAATCAAACATAGACATGCATATATGTAGACGTATATATACATATATGTATTTATATAAACTGGTCAAAACCATCTTGATTCTTTACTGACCCACAACCATGTCTACACATGTGGCAGGCAGAATAAGAGAAAGGCAAGGAGATTCAAAAGTGAGAGGGTGTGAGTGCACGTGTTGAATCGCACGCATGCCAGGACATGATACATATATATATATATATATATATATATGGTATTATAATATATATATATATCTGGTATTTATAT